TTTCAGGTATTCTTCTACCTGACTTTTTCAGAGCTTTAAATAAATTGTACCTGAGTCCAAAATTTTTGCAGAAGGGACCTCTAGAGGTATCTAAAGGCTCCCCCTTCACACTGGAGGTGGATCCCATAGAGGTATGACAGCCCTAGAGAAGAAATTAAAATGCTTCTATAGGAGTGAGTAAAACACTTTAGAATTTCAAATTCAATTAACTGGGCATGAGTGGCCCCATATGACTATTTCTTGTAAAAAATGACCAGCAGGCACCTGTTAAAGCAGCTCTAGCCAATGTTGCTGCTTGCAATGATAGTGTGCAATGATAGTGATACAAGACAAATATTGGAGTGGTTTATTCCTACAACTATATTCAGTGATGGAACTATTAGTGGCCCCAAAATAGATATTCTGGGCACAAATACAGCATGAACCCTTTCTACACAACAGGCAAGCAGTGTATAGGCATAGGTATAAAGGCCAAAAGTCTGCTGGGAAGGACAATGTAAAAGATTGTCCCTGGCTGGCGTAGCTCAGTGGATTGAGCACGGGCTGGGAACGAAAGTGTCCCAGGTTCGATTCCCAGCCAGGGTACATTCCTGGGTTGCAGGCCAGAACCCCCAGCAACTGCACATTGATGTCTCTCTCTCTCTCTCTCTCTCTCTATCTCCCTCCCTTCCCTCTCTAAAAATAAACAAATAAAATCTTTAAAAAAAAAAAAAAAAAGATTGTCTGTGGGCCTGACGAGGAGACTGAAAAAGGAAATCAGAGTAGAAGCAAGGCAGCAACTGATACCCTGTATGGAAGGTCAAACTATGAGGAAGCCACTGTGAAGTGGGCAATGTCTTCTGCTTTTTTACAGTGTTCCTGACTGGTGTGCAGACATTTTCTTCCTCCTGGTGGGGACTAAATGCTAACCCCAGTCGACATTCAGGTTATCTTCTCATGAATGTCTTCAAATGGCGGACACTCTTGTGGTTTTTAATTGCCCAACCATGCCCACAGTTTAGCAGTGGACTTGTGGCAGGAAATATGACTCACCAAAATGGAATAGAAACATGCAATCAAGAAGATAGAAATGGAAAGGAAATATACCTGGGAGCTGGGACAGCAAAGGGGGCTTGCCACTCTGGCATCTTCTCCTGGCCATGGATTGCCAAAAACTGTCACAGATATCCAGTTTCTTGGTGATCACGAATAATGAATTGACCCAAACACACAGAGTTTATAACAGAGAAAGAGAGCATTAAGCGAAAGTATACTCCATAGAAAATGGAAGTGGACTGATGCAGATACCAGCCCACAGTGTCCGCAGTGTTAGGGATGAGATGAGACAAATTCACATGGACTATAGAAATCCCGTGGAGAAAAAGAGATGACACAGCCACTCTCTTAGTGAAAGAGAGGGTTGGCCCCATCCCTCACCTGGACAGGCTTTTATTGCTTTTCTGGGCACATTACATTGAGGATGGTCCTCATTTACTATGCATAGGTTTGCTTTAGGTGGTTATCTTTTACAGAAAACAAAGGCGAGGGTGTTTCTAATTACATCAAAAAAGAAGGGTATTTGCAAATGTAAAGGGAAAAGTGGTTGAACTGGTTACACCTGTCCTTGGGAGGGTTAGCATAGATTTTAGGAAGTTACTTTAAAAATATGCAGTAAATGTTTGCTGCCTCAATTCAGGGTGAGGGAGTTTTAGCAAAAAGCAAGTCTCAAAGTGGCCTAGGTACAATGCAGGCCTGATTCCCCATGGGAGAACCTATCCATGGGCGTGGGTCCTGTGTACCAGATCTTGCTTTCCACTGGCCTTTCCAAGTGGGAGCTGGGCTACATTTCCCACACCACACAGAATGGCCTCCTATAGTAGACTAACTTCAAGCAGAGATTGGCCTTCAGCAACTAGAGGGATTCTATTCTTATCGGGTGGATATTTCCTGGGTAGTTTTGGTAGTAGCCTTTTATTTTGCATGTCTGAATAGTTAATATTACTTTTAAGCTACTGCACATATAATCTCCCATGATTTTCCTTGATTGCCTACTGGGAGGATGGGGCCCCGCAATGCTAATTTATTATAATGCTATTATAGTGAAGGAAGGGTCATACAGGATCTTCTGCGCAGATGCAGCCATGATTCATTATGATTCAGTGCTTTCCAGGAAGTGGGGACAACTGGTCTTAGAACAGTCTCTGTCCTGTATTGATGTCCTTTTGCCAGTCCTGGGGCACCCCTGGAGTTTCCTCATTCTTGAGAACCTGATTTTAGAACAGGTCCTCTGTTCTTGATATTATTTTCTCTATTCCTGGGGTGCCTCTGGAGTTTTCTCATTCCTATCTCCCACCTCACAGGTACTTGGGCCTGCTATTAAAATGCACAAGCACACACAGTCTTCCCTTCAGCATAAAGAGTTTGTAAACACATGGACCCAAGACAAGAGCTCTTACCATTTTACACAGCAAGAAAATTGGTCCCCAAACCCTGGATCTTTAGTTTAGAAGTTACCAGGATAGAAACATTTTTGAGTCTATACCCTCTCAAAGGGATGAACAAGCTGTTTTCTAGCACTGTGATCATTTTGTGAAACAAAGGAAGTATGACAGGGATCTCCCATGTTAGACCACAATGTCCCATCTGTATGTAGCATGTAAATGGTAGTGCTCCTCATGGAGCCTCTATGATATGAAGATGCTGAATAACATGGCTAAAAGCAGTCTGCTTGTCAATGAGGCTTTATCTGTTTGCTGTTTCTGACATATTTTAACAGAAATTGTCTCTTACACAACACAATTCCTGGGTTATTGTTGAGAAGTCACCCTAGAAGTGAACAAAAATGGATACCAAGTTTCCCCAACTTGGCCTATGAGAACAAAAAGCAAGAGTGATTCCCAAGCAGACAACTGGGGTTTATGGGAATGACAGTGCCTGCACTGTGTGTATGCTCAGAACCAGAAGGAGGGTGGGGGTTCTGTAAAGTTGAACTAAAACTTAGATCAAGATTATCCAGGGCATTGCCTCCCTCAGAAAGGCCATCAGAGAAACTAGGACCATGCACCTGGGGACCAATACCACTTGGGATCATTTGAACAGAGCTGATGTTATAGAGACCGCTTGCCTGGTCACTCATCAAATGTTTAGTAAGTTCCTGCCATTCCCCCAGTGCATGAGCCCAGGTTTTGAGCAGAACAGGTGGACAAGGGAGATGTGAACCTGTCTCTGGAGCTCACAATTGAGCATGGAAGGCAAACATTAAAAAGCATTACTAAAATATGTGAACTCTGATAGGATAGTCCTCTGAGACAGAGGAACTCCTTGTAGGGGACTGAGTACAGAGGTAAGGAATGCAGAGTGGCACCCTGCCTTCCTCTCCGTATGTATTTCTCCTACAGCAGAGCCCAGGATGGATAGCAACAAGGAGGGTGCTAATGGCAGAGATAATAGAAAATTCCATTTTAATGGAGAATGGCTGCTTGGCTGAGGATGGGCAGTTACAGTGAATTATATTCTAGGATCTTGGAGTGTGGGAGTACTGCCAGAAAAATAAAACTCAGCTAATTAAGACTTAATTACTACTGTCTTATGAGGTTTCCCATTTTGTATTCTCTCACCCCTGCTTTGTTAAAAATTATTGGTGGTTAGTTCCCAAGCTCACTTCCAATTTAAAAACTTTAGGGAGGAAGAAGATATAAAAACTTATCTTTGAGTTCCAAAAATTAGGGAAAAGAGAGGGCAGCCATGAAGTGGACCAAAGTCCCTTCTCAACTCAACACAGCTCTAGACCTCATCAGATCGAGTCAGGACCACAGAGGACAGAAATTCATTTTGTGAGTCCTCTCAGAGTTTCACCTTTTGTGGTCCATTGCAAAGGCCTTGGTATTTTTAGTTTGACTAAAAAATATACTGACTCCCATACCTGCCTACACAATGTAGAAATACCACTGCTGACACATGGAAATAGGATCTGGCCAAAATCTGGTTTCTGGAGATGGGCCAGACAGTGAGTTATGACATTCTACCAGGGGAGTTGGCTCTGCCTTTACCCTGACCATAAAGAATCTCCTGCTAAAGTGGGGTCACCCCCCTGAGTATCCCATGACCCTCCTGGGAGTTATACCCTCTGGCAGCCTCCACCTCCATTTGCCAAATGAGGCACCATTTTACTAGGGGTCCCTCCATGATGGTCATAGCTAAATCACACAACACTACCCACACTCCTGGTGTTGTTTCTATCTTTACTCTTAGAGCAGAACAAGGAAGAAAGTGTTTAGGGTTGATACCTGGGTCTATCACAAAACATCAAATCATGTACAGCATCCAAAACCTCCATATCCTGCTACCTCATGGCAATAAGAAACATGGTTTAAACCAACACCTTATTATGTAATTGAGCAGACAGAAATCTAAATATTGGTCTTACATCAAATCACTTTATTGATGTATGAATCGTAACAAATCTAGATGAGTAAGGGAGCGACATGATAAGGAAAATATAATTCCAAGGCCATTAGCTAAAGACTAGAGTCTCAAGTATCCTGCAATCAATTTTAATAATCTCATGCCACAGTGTCTTCCCTGGGAAACGAGAACCATGATATCCTTCTCCATACTCTTATTATACTGTAAAGATTAAATAAGGTAAGTATGAACATGCTTTAGAAAATTTAGTGTTATTTAAAAGAAAGGAAATGTCATATTGGGTAGAAAGCAGGGCACTAGAGGTGTAATATCTATCCCACTTTTGGCACACTGGTATCCAAGAACTCAAACCCCACATTTGTGGTGCTCACCTGGGCTACTGCTGACCATGGGTATTTTCTTGAATCCTTACCAGTTAGAGAGAACTGTTGTTATCATTTGGGAGCACAGTTTCCCTTGGCGAGTACTCTCTCCTTGGAATCAGTTAAGTCCAAGGTTGGAAGGGAGACAGGTGAACCATATACTCACTTCATTTGTTTTGACTTGCTCATCTTGATTTTCTTTTTCTTTTCCCTCCTTCCTTTTCAACTCTGCAGACCAATAAAGCCATGGCCAAGGGGGATTTCCACCAGGCCAGCACCAGCTCTCGGCGGGCCCTGTTCCTGGCTGTGCTCTCCATCACAATCGGAACAGGCATCTACGTGGGCGTGGCTGTGGCCCTCATCGCCTACCTCTCCAAGAACAACCACCTATAAGCTTTTTCTGGGCACAGAGGGGAAAAAGTTGGGGCCAGTTGTGTGTAGATGCAGAGCAAGAAGGACTAGCAAGGGAGAAACACCTGTGTGATGATGTGTAGTATAAATTATTGCCAAAAACTCCATAACACCCTGAAATTTTCTACCCATAAATTTCTTTTGTTTTTACCCTTTAATTTTCATAGCACTGTGTAGAACATGAGATAGATAAGCATTGCTAACCTTTGCAAGTGGAAGCTTCAGAGATCCTTACCCTTGATGCTGTCTTTGGATGGATTCTGGTAGTTTAATGACAGTGCAGCTCTCTCTGCAGCCTGCCAGTGCCTGGAATGCCATTGCATTAGCAATATACAAATAGTAAAAATGTGTTTATTTTTTATGGAATATAGCACAATAAGCAGAAGGCAGGGGATGTGTCATTCTTCTATCTGTTGCCCTGCTTGACTCCTCTGGCATGCCCCCAGTCTATGCACCTTCCATACAAAAAGAAAACAGTGCTGAGCAAGAAGAGACAAAACTGTTGGCAGAAACACCACTGTCATTGGTTTTCAATGGGTCCAGTCCTGAGAATTCAAAGTCATACTAGTGTGGGACCTGTCCCCAGGCCCAGTCTTTCATTCCCTCCATTCCCCAACCTAGGATCATCTGGCATCCCTTGGAAGATGTACAAACTCAGCAGTCACCACACAGAAATTTGTAGTCTTGGGCCTCATTTATCTAGGTTTGGGGGGAGCAGGCCACAGTCTGTCCCAATATTTCTCCCAGAAGGACCTGAAGGTTTGCTCCAAGAACTCAAGACAAAGGAGCTATGGACACCATCTCAGCATAAAGACACACGCTTTGGCAGTCACCTTGGTGATAAGCAGCAGCACTAATGATCTAAAAAGGAGATGAACATTTTCTGTTGACTAAATGAATAGTTATTTTCTTGTCATTTTTTAGTGCAACTATTGCTTCAGGCTGCTTAAATTATCAAATGAATGCTGAGAAATAAGTAACCACAAACATTTTAATGCCATTTTATTGCTGTTTCATGAGTGTTCATTATTTAGCAAAAATTATCTTTTAGCTCGTTTGCTTAAAACTTTTCTCTCTGATTAATACTATTTACTGGGTTTCACTTAGTGTTTTTACTTGTTCAAATAACTACAGAGCCATCCAGGACTCAGCTGCTGAAACAGTAGTAGGGTCTCTAAGATGAGAATTACATTATCTCTGACCACTTGAACACTGTTAATGTGTATTATTGTCCTGATATTCTTAGTGTACATTGAGACCATCTCTATAGATAATGGTTGGACTCCAGAAATTACAGAACTCCTGCTTGCCTGGGTCCCAGCACCAGATTTCTGATTTGATTGATTAGGGTGTAGCCAGGTGATTCCAATGTGGTGCGGGAGTTAAGAACCACTGTCCTGGAATTAGGATTCAGGTCTGATTTCCCTCACCCTTGACCTTAAATACACAATATTCTGAAAGTTATTAGCACTGCCTTTCTGGGTCACATCCAAAATCTATTTCCATTTGGTTATAATGGATACTTCAAAAATGTCCTCTAAAAAGAATACATGGAAGAAACGCAAATGTCCCTGTATGAATTAGAGTCACCTAGTGATAGCATGGATTTGGGATCCAGCCAATCTGGATTTGAATCTAGTTGTGCTACTTTCTAGCTGTGTGATCCTGGGTGTACTTCTCTGAACTTTATATCTAGAAGAAGATTATAAGTGAGACCCACTTCCTAGAATTGCTGGTATGTGTAGAAACACAGAACCTATCTGCTTGGCATGGGTCATGTGAAGGAACTGGGGTGGTCACTGTTATTTTCAGTGCTCAGGTAGTCATCCCATGGCTTATTTGTGCCCTCTCATCTTTTCAGCCCAATCTCTCAGGGTTTATTTATAAGGAGCTACTGTGTGAAATGAGCTTCTTTCTATATTCCCTAAAACAGTTCATTTAAAGTTCAAGAGGTTTCCATAGTTCTGTGTCTTTGGATATGGTTAAGAAGTAGAACCAACCTTGTGTGTTGCATCCTGCCATCTCCACTTCCACTTCCACATCGTGGTTGGTCCACACTAGCCTCTTTGTGCCCACATACCCTGATTCCTCCCAGGCCAGAATTTCCATTTTCTCTCAGCTCCTGCCTTTCTGGGTGAGCAAGCTTTCATTTAAAATGGCTCCCCTCCCCCTGTGTCAAGGAACAGCACCAAGACCACACGTGGTACCATGTGGTGTGGATGGTCACATGTATGTGCAAGTGTTAGGGCCAAACTTGACTGGACAGCTGAATGAAGCACATGTGACCCCACAGCTCACCTGATAGGTAGACACAGTGGGGGAGGTGGTTGCATGTCATCTTCAGTGACCATTAGTGACGGCTGAGCAGCACTGAAATCTTCTAGGTATGTGGGGCTGCCATGCATCCCTAAATTTACATTGTCCTAGCTGTCACTGCAGCCACCATGGATGAGGCACTGGCCTGCACAGACCCTGTACTAGGCAGGCTCACATTATCATGTAGTCCCAAGAACACCCGTAGGTAGGTAAAAAGGTGACAGAACTGAGGTTCACAGTAGGGAACTCACCCATCACTGCACAAATGGCAGCTATAGTAACCTCAAGCCTGGCTACTCCTCCAGGCAAAAAACTTCTAGTAGAACACTTCTAGTAGAACCATGCTTCAATCCATATCCCCCACTGTGGTACAGCCTTTACTTCCTTAGCAGCTCACTTCATTCTTTTAAAAACTTTTTTAGGACCATTTTATTGACAGACAGACCCAGAGCACATAAGTAATTTTCCCCTAAATCATGTGCCTGGAAAACAGCAAAATAAAGGTGTACCCTAGTCCATTGGATCCTAAGACTCATTGGCTTCCTCTTACACTGTACTGCCTCAGCTGTGGCTTTGCAAGAGAAAAATTGCATCTGGGCCAAGATCCCATTGTTGGTGCATCAAGACTCTAAGGACTGGAAAGGCACTTTTGGTTTATGTCCACAGCCTGTCTTTGCCACTGGCTAGTAGGATAATATGGGGAGAAAGATGGGAGGGTTGGGGTAACTTAAATGGAAAATGACATCTCAGCAAAGGTATTAGGGCATATTTTGTACCTGTGCAGTGCTATGCTTCCCACATTCTTAGAGGCATCCATGACCAACCTATCTCCATCTTCTGAAAGGTTCTTATCATCCCTGTTTCACTAGGCATGCTTGCCTCATCAGGTGTCTTCAATTTAACCAGGTGTCCCACTTCACGAAGTATACCAACTTTTCCAGATATTCCAACACTTACCAAGGAACTACAATGAGTCTGAGGAGAACATGGTGAGAGAGGCCACATCTGTAGGTCATTGTGTCATCAGTAGCTTCCCAAGATGCCACAGACAGTTGAGCCAAACAGCTTAGTGGGAACAGGGCCCTGACAATAGGACCAGCCTCTTCAAAAACTGGGCAGAGAATTCCTAACACCCAGCCACTGACCTGGCCCTCTGAAGATGCTAGAGGCCTTCATCATCTGAAGCAACCTCTGGGTTTAAAATGTATTAATAGAGCAGCTTCCCATTTACCAATAACTCCTACTGCTCCTGAATAGATAAATGTCAAATGGTCACTACAACTAAAACCAGGGCTCAAACCAGGGCCTTTTCAGAGCCCCTTGGCCGAGTTTCTGGGCCTCGCCTTTGAGGTTTTAGAGGGACTCTGAGAGGCCTCTTCTGGACTGGCTTCAGCAATAGCCCTTATGAGGCCAGTTTTGTGTTTCACCCTCTCCCCCTCAAAAACCACCTGCATTTGTTGTAATGGGTGTTAACATCTGTGGACCCAACTTACCAATAAACCATTAAGTGTAAATTCAGACCCTGAGCTGAAGTTGGCCCTTTTGAATATGAAGCTGCCCCATCTCCTATCCAGAAACCACCTTTGCATCTGTGCTCTGCTCTTGATTCCATTGGGAGCATCAGGGGAAGCCAGAAGTTCTGTGAAGCTGTGGCTGTAATGTACCCCCTCCCAAGACCTCTTGAAAGCCCCTCCCTGGTCTTCAGGATGAGTTGAGCTTCTGCTTAGGGTGGGGGAACCTCACTACCCTGGGATTCTCATCTGAAGACTGCTCATCTTAACAAAGCAATGGTGGATGCTAGACCCACAGGCACTCAAGGCATACAGACCAATGGCTCCCTGCCAAACAAGTATGTAAATCAAATAACAAATTTGTCACTGAGCCCTGCAGGAGGGGGTCAGGGCTCCATATGGCTGAGGAAGACAGGAGTTGTCGGCCCTGTGTTTAAGGTATAGCATGGTTCTCTGGGCCAGTAGTTGCCCTGTATTGCAGGAAGATTGTTGATGAGAGCAGTGATAAGATCCAGTACAGCTGCCCCACAGAGGAGGGCATGGTGACCTTAGGCATGGAGTGCCCTGTGGGTCTTTGTAGTAGGGAGCGTGTTTTGAGTGAATCACAGGTCAGCTGAGGATTCTTGCGGGCTCTAAATATTTGCCCTTATCCACCAGGTGTAAAAGAGAGCATAGCAGGATCAGGAGGAGTGATTGGGGTGATGGGGTAAAAGTGGGAGCTTCCAGGAGCAAGCACTGGGCTGGAGACATTCCTAGAAGTGAAACTAGCCTGGGATTTTCAAACTCAGGCAATGGGGAGAGGAGCTGGAATGTTTGAAATTTCTCAGGCTTTTTGCTTCCATTGAGTTCAGTGCTGTAACTGCTCTGGATTTTGGCCAATGATTCCTTAGCTGTTATAATGGATCTGGCCTTCAGGCATTGAGGTGACTGTCCTTACAGTGGAACAGTGCTGTCAGTCTCCTCTGTCACCTGGAAGCCTTTTCCTCTATTAGAGAGTGAGCTCAGAGCAGTATGTCTCAGACCAGTGAGACAGGTTTATGAATCTGAATTCAGCATCTAGGGCTGAATAGCCCTAGATAAGTAGAGTAATGTGGGTAAGTAGAGTAATGTGGGTAAGTAGAGTAATTTCCACAATGCTGGACCAGAGGCCACCAGGGAACCACATAACTCCACCCTTCCAGCACCTGATCAGAAATCAGATCCACAGGCCCAGAACTGTGTATGGGAAGGGTTGCATGTCACTCCTTTCCAGTGAAGAAGGGAGGGCCAAATTTGAAAATTGTGGCTGGATGGGGTCCAGTAGGAGCCTTGAGAGCTTCAGTCTTATTCACAGGATTTATTCATTCTGGGTCCTCCAACATCACTTTGCAAAAGAACCAAAGAAGGCATGATGCTGCAAGGCTGCCTATTCCAGGTCAGTACAGTACAAGCACTTGCTGAGCACCTACCATGAACAAAAGCTGTGGTGGGCCCTTAGGGGACAAAGACAGGAAGAGATCAGATCTGGGGATGCTCACGGCCTTGTGGGAGACAATGTAGGTCTGGCAGCCAAGACTGTGGGTACCAGCACATAAAGTTAGGGCTTTGATATATTGATTTGAAGGGATAAAACTCAGCCTATCATACCACCCAATCTCATGCATCTTCCATGCCTATGACTGCCTGCCTCTCTCCACGTATACTGCCATAGTCATCCTGAGCCCCTCACCACATTTTCCCTCCACCCCTGTCTTCAGCCTCAGCCACATCCATCCATCTGTCTATCTGCCTATGCCTATGGGCCCTAAACAAAACCTGTGTTTGATGGACAAAAAAATTCATGTCGGCATTTTGTGGTCCAATACCCCAATCACCCTCAATCCAGGGCAGGGAATCTAGCTTGTGCCTGTGTGAGATCCTAACCAGGTTGGAGTCACCTGAGCCAAGCCCCCAAAATCCTTCAGGCAAACAACACTCCAGTATCTGAGACAGAATGAGCCAGGCTTACCCATAGCTACAAAGCCTCTGAGGCTGAAGCCATGCTTTTCTCACTCAGCCTGCCTTTGGGCCATCCATAGCTGAACACTGACAGACTAGGACACCCAGTATAACTCAGAAGGCTCAGCTTCAGGCTCTTCTCATCTCAGTGGGGAGACCCTGGGTAACTGGCCCTCTCAGGTCAGTTCTGGTGGGGGTGGTGGGGCTTGCTGGGACACAGGTGGGAGATACTTGGACACAGGGCTACACCCAGTGGGGACCAGAGACGAATTGGAAAGGATGTCCAACTGCTAGTGTTGGGACAATGTGCTCGTAAGCACCAGGGTGCCCCAAGAATACTTGGCAGGGAATTTTCAGCTAGGGAGGTCCCCTGTGAACCTGTCTCAGTGTTGAACCCAAGGACCCTTCAGC